TCTCTCAAAGATTATGCAGGGGTTAATAACTTTTTGTTAGCTGTTCATAGTGCTTATATAAATGATTTTAAAGATACAGTATCGCTTGCTCTTGAATCAATAATTCAGTTTGAATGAAAAAAGTGAATATAAAACTGTTCTGCAATATTATTAGAGAGGTTCTGCTAAATTCGAGTTAACAGGAGTCCTTTTCAGATTATTTAATCTCATTAACAAATAACCATCATTTGACTAATATAGAGTGCCTTAATAAATGGTTTGCATCTCTTATGTGGGAAACTTGAGTCTATGTATAAGATTTGCTGATTATGTGAGATAAACTAACCTAAAACAATCGAATATATGCAAAACATTTGTGGAAGTTCTCTTTGCCTGCTGGATGAATGGACATTACACAAAGCTTTTTGATACTGCCATTTGCCATTTTTTGTAAACAAATACAACAAAGGCCTTGCCTTTGAAATTGTTATGGTGCAAACAGTCCACTGCATTTTGGAGAAAATTTGAAACTCCCCAAATAGACTTTTTCTGCTTATTTTCTCTCTACTGAAAAATAATTTTAAACATTTGTCTTGAAAATATTTGTGCGTCCATAAGATTGAATATCCTTAGACATAAAATAAATTATTTTATAATATTTTGAGACAAAAACACATTATTAGAGCAAGGAAAGGATGGCTGTAATTTGAATAAGCAAAAATTGAAAACATGATTTAGGAATGTGTCCTACCTCTTGTTCACTTATCACTAGTGATCAGAAAGAAATTTATTGGTTTATCTTAAAGTAATGATCCCAGGGGGTCTGTTTGTCTGATCACATCCATGGACAGGCATTGACTCTATTGGTGTAATGGAAATTCAGAATAGAATTTCTTACACTTGATGAATTTGTAATCTAGCCAGTGACTCGGGAATACCTCCAGTTTCGTGCATACTCTCCCTCTCATATTTAGAGATACTTAAATAAAAATAAAGACCTACTTGAAAAAAAGAATACAAATAAGAACTTTGATTTAACGTACATAAAAGGAAACCAAAAGAAAGAAAAATTGTATACATTTATTGACATTCAATTTATTTCAGCTTTGGAAATCTGTTACATAACAAAAATCACATTTGTCTGGATTTTTACAATTTATAAAATATTTTGACACCCTCCATTTCTCTGAAGTTATGTGACTAGCCTGAGGTCACTCAGAGATGTGGAAAAAGCATAACATATGATGAAAATATTAAATCAATTTTTTATCGCAAAGGGCTGCAAAACACATTCTATTCATTTGGAATTATATTCTCTCCATTCTGCCAGATGATTTAGCCAATTCTGCTATGCAGATTTTATTTTACCAATTACTTTGTAACAAGCTTTTAGACAGTGTCAGCATTATAATTCTTCCACTGTCAAACTAGAAAAATGACACGCCTTCTGAAATACCCATTTGTTGAATAAGTGGGACCTTTTGGAAAATTTGAAAATGTTGATTAGCTAAGTAAACATAAGCACATTTAAAATAGATATTCTTTTATCTTTGGACCCTTTTCAAGTTTATGTTTTTAAGAGTCAGATGATTGCATTAATATTTTAAACAATAAAACCCAACACCACCATTAAAAAAATTATGTGATGTTTGTAACATAGCACATAGAAGAATAAAGAATAAGCAGGTTAGATCTAAAAGAAAACTAATGAATAGCCCATGATAGTGCAAAATAACTGGTTAAAAGCTAATTTTAATATCAAAACTGAAAATTGTAGAATGAATGTGACAGTGTTTCAAACATGAAAAAAAAAAAAGCAAAGCCAATTTTCCTTATACTTCCCACTGAGCTCTGAATCTAAAAAAGTACAAAAGAAATTAATGTAAAATATAAAGAGAGGGACATAGAAAAAATGGGAACAATCCACAATGATTCTACAATTAAATGGCAGGTACCTCTTTTGAATAGAAATGAAGTTTAATCAAACATTTGTAAATTGTGTCTAAAAATTAACTAAGGAATTCTCCAAAAGAGAACATATTCTTCATTAGAATTTGTTCTTATTAAAATGTACTCTTTCTGGGGCTTGTTTACAGGCTGATTTTTTTTTTTTTTAAAGCACATGACATTATTATTCTGATAGTAATTCTCAAGTGTGCCATCCATGAATGTTTGAGTCATCCCCACTGTTTTCTAGAAGCCTAGTTTTTGCTAAGGAAAAAGATGTGGCATCTCTTCTGTAATTTTACTAAATGTCTGAAAGGCATAATAAAGAGGGAATCTGTCTGCAAGGTGATCCTTTATTTGTAAAATAGCTATTAGATAGCTCTAAATTCAGTGAAATCTTGTGTCCAGTAATTCCAAATGGTACAGCTACTTAACAGCACATGTTAAATTTGGTAAGTTGTGTTATGTCCTTAAGCACCTAGAATTTATTGGATAATAAGAGGATCAGTATAACAAATGGATTCTGTCAAAAATATTTTTCAACTTGCATTTTTTACAAAAATTGGGTTAGATCAGGATCTGATCATTACCAAAGCTTAACTGTTTAGTCCCACATGATATACACTCATTGGTAAACTTAAAAGCTGTTGTTTGGACTGCTTCAATGAATGGGAATCTTGTTTCAAAGATGGGAGAGATTAAACAGATTTCATTCATGAGGGGATTTGAGGGTAGGAGGGTAGGAAGGTTTAGGTTAGTTCCACTGAATACTTTTATGTCTTAATGAGGCACATTTTGTATAAAAAATTATAGTTTAGAGAATTTGAGTTCAAGTCAAAAATAAGAATTGAAGCAGAGTTGTTACAAAACTTTGTTGTTTTGAACTTGACAATTGAATGATACACAGAACTCAGAGTCCAGAAAAAACAAAAAACAAAAAACTTAAATGTTTGGAGTAAAGTGGAAGAGGAAGCCTTGAAAATTTGATTCATCTTGGGGTGCCTGGGTGGCGCAGTCGGTTAAGCGTCCGACTTCAGCCAGGTCACGATCTCGCGGTCCGTGAGTTCGAGCCCCGCGTCAGGCTCTGGGCTGATGGCTCAGAGCCTGGAGCCTGTTTCCGATTCTGTGTCTCCCTCTCTCTCTGCCCCTCCCCCGTTCATGCTCTGTCTCTCTCTGTCCCAAAAATAAATAAACGTTGAAAAAAAAAATTAAAAAAAAAAGAAAATTTGATTCATCTTGTGTAAATAAGAAGTTCAGTGCACATACCATTTGAACCCAATAAATCCATACATAGTGTATGGTAACTTTGGAACTGAATTTATGAAGTTATGATTGTCTTGGGAAAGTAGAAGATGAAATAGTGTTCATGCCTCAAGAGAGTTAACCTCTCTTCTTGATCTAACCCAACCACTTCAATCTAAAATTAATTAGTATAGGGGGAAGGGAAGGGGAAAAAAATAGTTTCAAACAGAGGGAGGCAAACCATAAGAGACTCTTAAATACAGAGAACAAACTGAGGGTTGATGGAAGGTTGGGGGAGGAGGGAAAATGGGTGATGGGCATTGAGGAGGGCACTTCCTGGGATGAGCACTGGGTGTTGGATGCAAGCGATGAACCACGGGAATCTACCCCAAAAACCAAGAGCACACTTTACACACTTTACACACAGCCAATTTGACAATAAATCATATTAAAAATAAATAAATATTCTTATAGACAAAAAAATTAATTGCCATATTGAGAATATGTCTATTCTTTTGAAATTTTATTCAAACATAGGGATTTTAAATATATTTTATCATTAGTCTTATACCACTGTTCTTAGTACAAGAGGGACACTGAATACATTTGTAGGAATGCTTGGCTTTCCCCCTCAACCTTTATTTGCTTTTTCTATGTCCACATTACTTTTAGTCTTGATCAAAGCCTCAGAGAATGCTCTGCAGTGTGAGGGAAAGTATATTTGCTGCTTTCATAACAACTGGCCCCAACATCCTTGTAAGTTACCAACCCCTCGGTGGTTCCTTGCAAGTGCTGTGGCCACAGAACTTGTGCATAAGGGGAGAGATCATTCTCTTTTCTTTGAGGAGCAATTGCTGGGAATCCCACGTTGGGTTTCTGAGACACTCTTGCCATGGGAGCAAATGAGACACAGTAAAGGGGCACTTAAGATAAAGATATTTTGTGTGAAAGATACACAATTCTGAATAAAATGAAGTCTTTTTGTGCTTAAGCAGGAGGAATACAGAACTGATTACATTTCTTGTTTTGATTTCTTTATATAGGTCTTATTTATTTTTATTTCAAAAACATATTTATCTTGTGGCGACCACTACATGTTAGATTTTTTTGTTTAAAAAAATATGCAGCATACAGATTTTCATTCAGTTCATCTGACATTTACTTTATAGTTCTGGTAAAACATTGTTCTGAGTTTTAAGAAGATAAAAAGATAGAAGGAACATAATTCCTGAGCTGAATCAATATATAAATATCCTAAAAGGCTTTAAATGGAGTATTTTACAAATATACAGACAATATCACAGCCAATATTCAGAAACCTGAACAATGTTATTAATATAACTTAAAGTACCTTACCATTAACTGTATAAATAAATTGAGACTAATTGGTTTTAACAGCAAAAGTAATTAAATAACATGTTAAATTTGATATCAAACAACATGTGTCTGTTCAAACAAAATAACCTAACTCTATACCTTATAATTAAAAGATTGTTTTCAATATTAAATAACTGATATTCAGAAAATGATTAGGGTATGATAAAATAATAAATTCATATGAGTTTTCTTTTACTAATAGTAAATTGTATTATTGACAAAGAAGAATTTAATTATCTCAGAAATATTTGTCTCTGCTTAACCAAAAAGAAAAGTAAATCCTAAAGAAAAAAGTAAACACTTATAGAATACATTTAAAGCCTATTTAAGTTTCCAAACATGTATTCATAATAAAGCCCCCATGTGGTAATATACCTAAAATTAAAAGTTGAGAAAGTAAATATAGCATAATTGAAAACATCAGGGTTTTGAAAGAAAGAAGAAAAAAAAATTACCTAATAACAGCAACTTTACAGTTCTTGCATCTCGCTCCGCATCTTCTTGAAGCTTTTTCTCCAGTTGTTTTGATCTTTTGGCTGACTCCTTGCTCTCTGAACTAATTCCGCTTCCCATTTGGGTAGTTTATTTGCCCAAACTTTTTCAAACGGACAGCACAGCTCTGGCGTGGACAGAGGCTGCAGAAGGAGTGCTCTGCTGAGGCTCCTAACAGCCCATCCCCTCACTCTCTGAGATTCCGCTTTGACTAAGGAGATACTTTATGAACTATCACCTGATCTAAGGGTAAACCCATACATCGCTGTGGTTGTACGGCTGGAAGCAGAGGAGGAAATTCATTATGCTTTCAAATTAAATGACCACTTATGGCACATCTTCAAAAACTTGGTCATCTTCCTTAAAGAATAGTGTATAATAATGTAGAACATGGTCGATATCTATACACTAAAGTTAGTGTGCAGTGAACAGTTCAAGTGGATGTTTCTCACTAACAGGCAATATTTATTACTGTGATTTAAAGTTATTATTACTAACCAACAAGCATGTATCTTCATATATTTGTGTCTTCAAATTCTAGATAATCATTCCAATATCACTCTCTGAATATTTATACTGAATCATCCAAATTTATACTCTTGTATGCTTAGATTATCACTCAAAATTGTTGGGAATCTTCTAGTATTAACTAGAAGACATCCTTTTTTTAATTTAAATTACAATTCTAAATGTAGTTCTTATATTTATACAGACTGTTGTATGGCCACATAGAATTCAACACACGTTGCTCTTAAATTATTGATTTTAACCTTAAGCCATTAAGCAACAGCTGTTGTGCTGGAAAGACTTTTATTGATTTGGTACCAAGGAAATAAAAAACAATGTTCTTTGAAACAGTAGGCAATTTGGTTCTTCCTGAAAAGTAAAAACAGTACATACATCTAAATATGTTCCATGCCTTTTAACTACCCCACTAAATGTCATGCACTTGAGATCTGCAAGGTTGGGGACAAAGATTAGATTATGTTGTACAACTTTTTATTTATATGAAGTATAAAGCACTTGTTAGGTAGTGTGTGTGTGTGTGTGTGTGTGTGTATAGAGAGAGAGACAGAGACAGAGACAGAGACAGAGAGAGAGACTAATTGGTTTTAACAGCAATGTCTGTCTATCTATCTATCTATCTATCTATCTATCTATCTATCTATCTACATTATAAATAGAGTTGGCCCCCTGTGACAGCAGGCAAATCTTTCCATGAATACTTTGGGATTTGTGAATGTGCCCTAACCAGGAAATGGTAGAAGACAGTCAATCCATCAACATGTCAGCGCTAGTCTTTTGAGTTCTTGTGCAAAGTTTGAACAGGTGGGGTTTTGCATATTCATAAAACAAGGAAATTTTAGGCTTCCAAATTACATACATACTCCTCATTTGTTTACTTTTTCACATAAAATATCAGCCTGAAGGTACATAAGCATAGTCAAAACTCATGGCTTTCATCTCTCCAAAGCCATGTTATGATAGTATAAAGATTTGGAAAGGTAGGTATGCAAGGGTTTGTGCAAATCACGTGGTATTGCTTTTACAATGCAAAGAGCCTGCCCCAAAGGAACAAGATTTGCACCCCTTAGTTTACTTATACTCACCAGTGAACACAGAATTCACTCTGACAGCAATACAAAATAACAAATATTAAAATAAATTTGTTTTTGCCTATTGTTTTTATATCAAAATCAAATACATTTAGTACCTTGAATACACAAGATTCTTGTATGTTTTATAACAATTATGAACTAAGATCATATAATTTGCATTCAAGTATATATACCCCACAACTTTTTGGTGGGGACACACCTGGGTTTGAAAAAGTGTACATTTTACTAAGACTACCTAGGTTATTAACTTAAACTGAGCAGCTCTTTCAGGACTGTATACAACTTTCTGCACTGTATGAAATGATAAACATCTACTTTTCTGTAACCCAGAATGTTTAGTCGTTAACGTTGAGATTATTATGTAAATTTGTCATCAGTGACTAAAACAAGCTTGATATAAAATTCAAGGCGTGTCTATATTTAGGGGAGGCAGGCTGGGAAGAGTCCGGGAGAAGAGAAACGTTCCTTTCTCTGTCTTCTCCCCTGGGGACCTGGGAAACATCTTCACTAATGAGCTGGGGTTGTTAATACAGCTATTAGCCCTGTTGTTGCACTTTGGATTATTGCTTTCTGGACCTAAGAAAATGTTGAAAATAAAATAGCGAATTCCACTAGAGTGGGGACAAGAGCTTACGAGCTTTGATGTATTCCACAGTATTTGGCAGAGTGTTAGCCATAGGAAATGATCAAAAATTATTTCTTGCTAACGAATTGAGGCCTGGAGTCCTTTCTATTTCTTTCACTCTGCTAAGGTGACTGTACGATTAGGGCTCCTTTTCGAGGTTCAATGTGGGTCTATCTCAACACCTTAGAAATTTTAGAGTGTCTCAAAAAAAATGAATGAAAAAGCTCACTTTTGGTCTGAAAGAGTGTCAGTGTATACAATTACCACTGTTAGCACATTTACCTTTTTTTTCTAAGCCTTAAAAATAACATTAGTATACTCCCTTTTGGTGGTTAACCTTCATCTCATAGTGAGAGAAAATTGATAAAAGTTGACAATGGGAAAAGGTAACTAAATGAGATGCTTTTTATTCAGGGAAAAAAATGCGGCTAAAAATTTTGTTCTTGAAAACAAACTTAAAGCTATCCAACACACTATAATGTTAGAGTTCTATGTATTAGTCAGCTGAAACAGAGAGATTGCTCTGTGTACATATACCCACACACCCCGGAAGCGAGAGACATTGTATTGAAATATCATGGTCTTTTAGAATAATCATTGAGAATGACTTCTAAGAACCGTGTTGCTTTTTGATATTTTTGTATCACAGCATCAACCTGACTGGGAATATCTTCTTTTGGAACCAGGTTGTGAAAAAGAAAATTGACTTGAGGTAAAGTACAGAGAGAGTCCTCAGCTCTAAAAGCTCCCTGAAATATCACAAGCTTGTAGGGGGTGAATAATTTTTTTTGGCATTTTTGGTCATGATCTCTGTGTAACCTTCAGAAGAGGATATGAGTCTTTAAAAAGGCTGAGTTGGGGCGCCTGGGTGGCGCAGTCGGTTAAGCGTCCAACTTCAGCCAGGTCACTATCTCGCGGTCCGTGAGTTCGGGCCCCGCGTCAGGCTCTGGGCTGATGGCTCAGAGCCTGGAGCCTGTTTCCGATTCTGTGTCTCCCTCTCTCTCTGCCCCTCCCCCGCTCATGCTCTGTCTCTCTCTGTCCCAAAAATAAATAAATGTTGAAAAAAAAATTTAAAAAAAAAAGGCTGAGTAATCACTATTTTACATTTATAATTCAACATCTAGCTTGGGATGACATGCAATTATCCCCCACCTGCTTTTCATGATGAGATTTCAAACAATGTTTCTGTAGATGTCTCTTTTGCCAGTATTACCTGGGCTTCAAGCTGGAGTTCCTTTGAAAATGTGATATGTGGCTGACTTCAGTGGCTCAGCTCCTTCTGGAAGTTGTGAATACAATTGTAAATACAAATCTGTATTATTCCTTATTTTGTTTCCACATGTTATTGGAGGTGTTGACTTCAGGCTTTGAGTCCCTGGGTGGTTTGAGTCCTAGCTGCCTTAGCAATGACCTTTATCCTTGTATACTCCCATGAAATTTGAGGCAAACCATCTCTCCTTTGCTAATGGTACTCAAATGTGCACTTCTGGGAGCTCTATGCATGGTATCTCCAACAGAGAGTTCACATCTTTGGGGACTTCCTGAGAGGAGTCTTGTGATCTTGAGGGAATAGGACAAAACTTACTGTTTCAAGTTAGTGCATTCATGCAGTACAATAAGTTTACAATACCAGCATTAAGCAGCTCTTACGTCTTCAGAGGTAATACAAGTAGGTATTTTTATTCATTGGAAGTGACTTCTACCTTTAATTATTCTATATGTTCTTCTTTTTCTATTAGAACATGATTATATATAACGATTATTGGAAATAAAAAATGATAAAAGCTTAACTGACAAAGATGAGATTCATAATTATTCCTAAGGGGCTACTTCCTGTCCTGAATTCTGATCTTGTTTAAGATGTTTTTTACTGTCTCTTTAATGTAACATTTCTACTACTTCCTTCCTTCATCTTATTTCTCAGTCACTTCAGTTCTGATTATTACAACCACTTTTTACTTAGGTTTCCTGATTCTAGTCTCTGCCTTATTCCACTGTAACTTGTCTGATTGTGCCAGGTTACATTTCCTCAAGCCCAAATTTCATTATTATACTCATCTTGATACAAAATCCAAGAACTCCTTAATTGTTATTCTATCCTGCCACCATATACTCAGTAATCTACTTAGCACTAGCCAACTATCCAAATATATCTCCCATTACTTCTCATAACACGTTCTCTATTATAGCTGGGATTTTACATTTTTCCTAATTAGATGTCCCAACTTAGCTTTCACACATGCTTTATTTCCTCACTAGGAATATCTTGCTCTTCCACAGATGACTTTTCCATAGTACTTCTTCTTTTAGAAACTAATATATAGGGGCTCCTGGGAGGCTCAGTCGGTTAAGCATCTGACTTTAGCTCAGGTCATGATCTCACAGTTTTTGAGTTCAAGTCCTACATTGGGCTGTCAGCAGCAGATCCTCTGTCCCCTTCTCTCTCTGCTCCTACCCTGCTCATGTGCCTGTTTTCTCTCTTTCTCAATAAAATAAACACTAAAAAATAACCTACTATGTGTATGTATATTCTCCATTATACTTCACAACTACTATCACCCACGAGGTGATCCTTTACTCTCCAAATTCCTAAGAGGAAGCTTCTACTGGTCAGTTTGTTCTTCCTCAAACTAGGAAAGATACTCTCCAGTGACCTTACCCTCTGCTTCTTTTCTGTTTGCAAGATCCTAACTAAGAGTACATTGAAAAAAATCTTCCTTATTGAAATAATTGGTGAATAGTGAGTAATTGACAGATATATGGTGTTTGACAGCTCTTTGCTCCATATTGGGAATGCATGATTTTCCTTTTCACATGATGGCATGTATGAAATACTACCTCTGGAATTGCAGGAACTTATTTAACAATTGATATATTCAACGATTGTTATGTACCAGGCATGGGAGATTCAGCAATAAACAAGTTAGATAACACCTCACAGGGCTTAAATTCTACTGTGTGAGTATCTATGGGGGCTCACACAGACAATGAACATGATAAATATTTAAAGTACATAGATTTACAGATGGTGACAAGTGTTAAATAAAACAGAATGAACACAGCGGGTATAGGAGTTGTGGTGAGGATGAGAGATTAGAATTTTATATAACTTTTCCAGGGAAGATCTAACAAAAAGGTAATAATTTTATATCGTTTGCTAACATCTGACTTTTTTTTTCTTTTCAAATTTTACTTTAAATTCTAGTTAGTTAACATACAGTGCAATATTGGTTTCAGGAGCAGAATTCAGTGATTCATCACTTACATACAACACCAGTGCTCATTATAACAAGTGACCTCCTTAGTACCCATCACTCATCTGGC